CGCCCCACCGGCCCGTGGGAAAGCTGCTCGGAGGCGTGGGGCGCGCTGCTGACTGGTACGGGGGCGAGCGGACCGGCTGCTTCGTGGCGACCTCACTCGGGGAGAAAGCCCGCATGGAGCCAGGACCTTGGGATCCGGTCGCTTCCAGGCCTTGGGCTGCCCCACTGCTAAGGTGCGAATGCCAGTTCCTCGCCTGGCGTCGCAGAGGGGCAGGACTTAGGGCCCTTGCCTTAGGAACCCGGCGAGGACACAGGACAGGGAAGGGCAGTCGAGGCCGTCTGAGAGACTGGGGAATCCCGCTTCAACTGCTGCAGAAGTTCCGGGATCTTTTCATAAGTACAGTAGGGTAAACACGACGTCCAGGTCTTTGGGTTTCTGCAGAATCTCTCCAGTTTTAAAAGAAAAAAGTATGGGGTTGGGGGTGCAGCTCAGTGGTACAGAGCTTGCCTAGCATGTGTGGGACCCTGGATTCCATCCCTAACACTGGGGGGAAAGTGGAAATGCCACTTATATAAATTCTTTAGTTCTAGAAAAAGAGTAAAACCTCCTTCCCAATAATTTGGGACTTTGTCAAGCTTGATTCCGGTGCCTAGCAGAGTAAAGAATCTGCCTCCAGTGTTCTAAAGACGTTTCCTCAGGTGGGCTACACGGGGAGGGGGGGCTAGAGTTGTGCCTTTCGAGAAAAATGAACATGCAGGGGGATGATCAACCATTTGTCCCTAGCCCCATCGGAGCTGCTGTCCCAGCACAGCTGACCTGTCAAACTGAGGACTTGCTTGGAAAAGTTTAGGGATCGACATGACCATGAAGTTGGGCGTTGCAATTTCATGGGAGTTTGGGGGCCCTTAGCATCATAGCCCCCAGTCCCTTCTGGCTTTGCTTGACCAACTGGGTATGAGCATTGTGGGAGAAGGTAGATCTTAGGTGCCCTGGTGTGGTGTGAATTTGGGAAGGGAAGGGTGCATGGTAGCCTTCACTCCCTGATGCGGTCACCTCAGTAAGTGCTATAGGGTTCTTCTGAGTCCCAAAGAATACAGGTGCTGTCTTGCAGGACTTGCAGGAATGAAAGAGGGTTGTGCTGGGGCTGGAGGAAACCAGGGAGTGAACTTGACACAGTGCTTGACCCCTGTCACTCTGACCTGGCCTTGGCCATGCCAACTGTTCAGGAAAATTGAAAACATGAGCTTGTTCAGGGTCATGGGGTGGTGCTGTTCTTGCGGGAGCATCTCTTCTCCTCGAGGGATTCAGGCAGACCCTTTCCCCACCTCATAAAAGGTCTTCTGAACTTGCCAGAAAGTTGGACAGAGACAAATGACAAGGCCATTTCAAAAAGAGGAAGAAAGTCCAAAAACCACAGACCAGTGAACTTGACACTGCGCCTGGGAACTACTCAAAAGAAATGACTCATGAAAAATATTTGTGACCCTCTGAAGAGGAAGACAAAGACAGACCACACTATGCTCAGTGAACTTTATTTTCCTGCTGTGAAGAAACTGGGAATACTGGCTGTGAATCTAAAGATACCAGAGTTCTTTCAATCATAAGTGACAGAAACTCAAATTGGTTAAGAAAGAGTATGTTGCTTCACATAACTAAAATGTTTTGGGGCTGCCCCAGCAGGATCCAAGGGCACACATGTCACTACCAGAACATGTCTCTTCCCTTCTCTACTGCTTACCTGTGAGCTGGCCTCACACAGCTTCAAGCTTGTACTGTCTCAGCAGACCGGGTAGAAAAAAAAAGGTTTCATCTTTCAGTCCTCCCATGAGAAGTCCCAGGACTTGAAGCCGGGTACTCTGCATTCCTGTAATCCCCCTTGGGAACCTGAGGCAGAAGGGTTGAAGGTTCCAGGCCAACCTGGGCAACCTAGCAAGAGCCTGTCTCAAAAATATTTTTAAAAGGGCTGGTGTTTTAGCTTAGTGGGAGAATGCACAAGGCCTTGGGTTCAATCCCCAGCACCAAAAAAACAAAACAAGTTCTAGGATTTGCTCTGAATGCACAAAATTCACCTCTTGAGCCCATCTCTGAGGCCAGTTGGCAGCTCCACCCATGCCACTTGGAGGGTGCTGGGGGGTGGTGATAGGAGGTGGAATTCTGTGCAGGCAGGGAAAAGCAACATCTTGGACGAAGAAATTGCTCAGGAGTCCCAAGGTTCTGTGTAAACCACACAAAAATAAATCACAAATCACTGGATGGTCAAGTCAGTATTCAAAGATGCTTTGAATTGTGGATGAGTTGAAAAAGTAGTTACACAAGATCACATCAGTTCTGTTTCTGTTTGGCCACCAGTCCTTTTCCCCTTGTTTGTAAATAGCCACCAGAAACTTAGTGGCTTACACAACACAAATGTATTATCTCAGAGCTCTGGGGGTCCCCAAATTGGGGTAGCAATGGGGTTTGTCCTGGGGGGGGGCACCCAGGGAGAATCGTCCCACAGATAGCCTGTGTTCCTTGGCTTGTGGCCCCTCCACCCCCTTCAAACCCTAAAATAGGTGCTCAGCCTGTTCCCCAGGACACTGGTGAGCTCGGAGCACACAGGTTGGGATGCCTCTCCATTTGGGTCTCTGGTGGCCCTCAGTGTCGGAGTCAGGAGGCAGGTTTGGCAGTGATGAAGCTGAAGGACGTTGGTCCCAGTTGTCCCCTTGGTGGTGGTGTGACCTCTGCTCAGTGTGGTGACGTGTTTCTCCCTCGTAAAGGTGCCGCTGTTCGTTTTACAGTGAGCAGTGATCTGGGGGAAGATGCAGGAGGCGACTTAAATAGCATTTCCCAATGAAGCTGTGCCAGTGGTATAGCATCCCGTCAATGCGGCCCTGTGGTGGCTGCCAAAGGTATGTTTTAATCCTCCTGTTCCATCTCCATTTATCCCCTGACATTCCGCTGCATCTGCCTGTGCTCTGCAGTCTCTTCTCCACAGAGCAACTAGAGCGACCTTCAGAAACCGCAATGTGAGTTCAATCCCCGGTACAAAAAAAAAAAAGAAACCACAATGTGACCACAGTGGTTCTCTGTTGCCCCCCAAGTGAGCCCAGCAGCCTTTCCTGGTCACGGCCTGCAGGACCCGGCCCTTCCCTGCTCTTCAGCCCCCCTCAAGCCCCTCCTTGCCCTCCCAGGACCTCAAACCAAGAATGCACCTTCCTTGCATAAAGACTCCTGGCCTCTCCTGAACCCCTTCTGCCTCAGCCCCCACTTCTGCTTTACAGACACACAGCTCCCTCACCCACCACATCCTAAAGGAAGCCTGCATGCAGCCCAGGGCAGGTCAGGGTCCTGAGGACACCGTCACAGGGCTCCCCGTCCTCGTCCTTTATAGGGATGCAGGAGTCGTCACGCGTGTCCCTGTGCAGTGAGGCTCTGCGCCCCCTGCCATGCAGGCACCCCCACCTTTGTCCTCGCTCTTGTGTCTGCAGCACCTTCCGAGGTGCCCAGCATGCAGCTGGCCCGCACTGATCGTGTGGAACGAGTGAATGTGAGAATGAGACAAGGCTGGGGGACCGGAAGACGCTGGCTTGTGGTTGTCTGTGTGCAGATGTTGGGGCTCGCTTCTGGCCGGGTGACTTGGGGAGTGGGGTTATGGTTCCGGCTTGCGGGAAACCGCATCAAAGGCCAGAACTTGGCATGGACCCCTGGCTCCTTGGGGTGGGCAGAGTAGCACAGCGGAGAAGGCGGAGCCCTCACAGCCAGGCGGAGCAGTTCCAGCTCAGCACTTAGGCCACAGTGTATTCGGCTGTCCGGAGAGAAAACACCCAATTTGCAGGGATGAGGTGCAAGACAGATGCGGGTCTGGCTCTCCGCTGCTCAGCTGTGTGGCCTAGAACACCCTGCTCAACCTCTCTGGGCCTGTTTGTCTATAAAAGGGACCAACCTTTCTAGGTCCATTTAGTCATTTGATGCCTGTCTGTTGAGGGCCTGCAGTTTGACAGGTGCCGGGGAGACAGGAGGGAGAAGACCCTCAAAATTCCCTGCCTGTGTATGGCTTGCATACCAGGGAGGAAAAGGCAAGGAGTGAAAGCTGGGCTGTGTGGTGGGCAGCAAAGCAGGGGGTGAAGGAAATGCCACAGGAGTGGGAAGGAGGTGGGAGAAAGCTTAGAGGGTGCAGGGGAGGAAGACGCAGAGCTGGGTCCTGAAGGGTCGGAGGCAGAGCGTGGGCCCAGCAGGCCCTGCTCACAGGAGTTCAGGGTGCCACACCCCTGGGGTTCGCACTTCCTGGGCCCAAAACCACCCACTCATTGGCAGGCTCAGGCATCCCGGCTTCCTGATCCGCCTGTTGACAAATTTAACACCGCAGACCGGGTGGAAGATTGAGAAACCCAGAACAAATCTGTGACGTTGCCTGCACAACCCCTGGATCTCTCACTCCTGGGCACTGACTCTAGGCAGAGCACAGGAATCTTAAATGTGCACTGAGGGTTGGCTGCCCTCCCTCCCTCCCAGGGAGCCACTGCCCCACACCCCTGCCTACCTATGTGGAGATCCACTTCGCCTAATTTTACTTCTGGGGCCACATAGAGGTACTCTCTGCTGCCTTCTTTTATTCCGCATCCCTTGCGAGTCAGATCGACACGGCTGTTGTTTGTGCTTTCTTTTCACGGCTGTGTACAATCTTGCTGTAGGGATAGACCCCAGTTCCTTCATTCTGCAGGCCACAGACTTTGAGGTTGTTTCAGCTCAGGGCTACTGTGAATAGCGCTATAGGAACATTCCAGCATGTCTGTCAGTGAATGTACATGTACACTCGCTCAGTTTTGGCAAATGCTCCTGCCAGTTTTCAGAGGCACTTGACAGTCACATTCCTGCCACCAAGGTGGCTCTGTGTGGATATTTGGTGCTTTTTGGAGTGCCCATGCTAGTGGCGTGTGATTGGTGCTGTGCTGTGGCTTCCGTGTGTGTCCCCTGGGTACTAATGAAAAGAAGCATTTTCTCATGTTTTGGGTGTTCTCCTTTGGTAAAGAACCCATTTGGCCGCTTTGCTAATCATTTTATTGGGCTTCTCATTTATTTTTAATTATATTATTATTTATTTATTTTTGTACCAGGAATCAAACTCAGGGCCTCATGCTTACCAGGTAGGCGCTGTGCTGCTGAGCTACACCCCCAGCCCTAATATGATTTATTTAAAAGTGGGTGGGGAAGGGCTGGGGAGGTAGGTCAGTGGTGCCACGCCTGCCTGGCAAGTGCAAGGTCCTGAGTTTGATTTCCAGTGCCGGGGATGGGGGGAAGTGGTTGGGGGATATAGCTCCCTGGTATGGTTTATGTTTCACATGTGCAAGGCCCACACCTTCCCCACCACAAAAAGAATAATACATGGAGGCCCGGGATTTAGGCCAGTCACACTGCCTGACAATGCAAGTTCGATCCCTCATACTGGAAAAAAAAAAAAAAAAAAAACATGGTCATGCATAGTCATGTTTTTAAAAATTAAGCTATAGACCTATTTCGTTTTGTTTTGTCTGTTTTGTTTTGTTTTGTTTTTTGGTATCGGGGATTGAACTCAGGACCCAAGGGCTTACAAGGCAGGGGTGGAACCACTGAGCTAAATCCCTGGCCCTGTTTTGTCTTTTGAGACAGGGTCTTGCTATGTAGTTCCAGCTGGCCTTGAACTCACATGAATCCTCCTGGCTCAGCCTCCCAAGCACTAGGTTTAGAGGCATGCACTACCGAACTCCAGACTTAGTTTTTCCATGGCTATTCTGTGTAATATAAGCATACATGTCCCCCAACTCTTTTTGCAGGGGGCGGTACCAGGGATCGAACTCAGGACCTTGAGCTTGTGAAGCAGGCAGCAGAACCACTGAGCTAAATCCCCGGCCCTCCGCCACTCTTTTAAGTTCTATAAAATAGACTTCTATGCACCTTGAAGACTACAAATATGCACTCATAAAAGCCTGATTCTCTTACTTTTTCCCAGTCCTAGGGATCCCAATTCCCCACTTCTGATGGCACAGCGCACTGTGTAGCAGACTGTTGGCAGACTGGGTGCTGTTAACCTGTGGCGTCTGCAAGCACACGGCTGCACACACTCAGACTGGGCCCCCGCGGTGCACAGGGTGGGTCCAGGCATGCGTGCACTTGGGCTGCTGTGACTGGTACTGCTAAGGTGCTGTGTAAAGGGCTGAAGGAAGCTGTCATCCTACCAGTTCAGTCTGCCTCGCCAACAGAGGTGCGGCTGCACTTCTCTGCGCCAGGGACTCGTGAATTTGTGCTCAGCCCTGCCACCTTTCCGAACAGAGCCCCTTCCTGCACAGCGGCTGCCCAGCAGGGGCCACACAGCTGAGCATAGGGGCTCAGGAGAAGCACATGCTCCGTTAGGGGCGTCAGCTCCGTCGTCCTCAGTGAAGTCAGGGAGAAGCCAGACACTATGCTGAACCACAATCTAAACAAGAAGCAAATTTAGAAATCAAATCTGATCTCCTTCGGGAGAGGGGCGGTTATTTTTAAAGTGGAGTCTTACAGAGGAAATGACAGCAGAAGACTACACATCGGTTCAGCTGAGAAAGACGGGAGTAGCCTTGATAAGAGTGGAACTGCTTTTGTCAACTGGGGCCCTGCCCATTATTTCAATGAACAATTTCATTGTGCTACTTCCTTTGCAGAGGGTGCACTTTTAAAGTTACACGTAGAAGGGCTGGGGATTTAGCTCAGTGGTTCCGCCTGCCTCACAAGTGCAAGGACCCGAGTCCAATCCCTGGGACCCCCAAAATAAATAAAATAAAGTTACACTTAGGTAGTTATACTAGCAGCTTCATCACAGTACCTACTGTGTGAAGATATCTACGGGGAAAGACAGAAAGGGAGAGAAAGTAGGAGCTTTCTGAGTGGACACGTGGACGGGAACAGAGGCTTGCTTGGAAGAGAATGGCCCACTTCACTTCTGCGTGGAGCCACTCCCTGTCCAGCTGGCAATAATTGCTCATTTTGTGTTTCCAAAATAAAATAAAGCCTTGGCTTATGCTTCTGTTAAAAAATAAAATAAAAAGTTGTACTGGTAACCAAGAACACAGACAACTTGAACAAGCGTGGGGCCTGATAAGAGAAAAATTCTGAGGTGCACTTAAGGCTGATTACAGGGATAGAAGGAAAGAGAGATTTAGTTAACGGCACAGAGGCTGTATGCTGTTCCTCAATGTGTGCTAAACCTGCTTCCCACCCCACCGCCCCAGTGCAGGAACTCCTGGACTGCCCGCCCACACCCAATTCACTAGCATTTCTCTACCCTCCTTATCCAGCCGGTGTGCGTTCTGTGTAAACAATGGAGGTTTTCCTTCCTCAAATTTTCTCTAGAAAAATACTCGAGTCAGCAATGGCAACGTGACCTGTAGTGCCAGCTACTCAGGAGGCTGAAGCAGGAGGAGCACTTGGGCTCAGAATTTCGAGGTCAGTCTGGGCAACACAGTGAGGTCTTGTTGGGAAAAAAACAAAACAAAAACCACCCGGCAGACATTTTTCCACCTGCTCTCTAGCCTCACTCCTTTTCTGCCAGGCATCTGCAAGGGCTCAATATTTCAGAGGTGCCTGGGTTTCAAGAGTTTGGTTTAACGGGACAGAGAACTATCAGCTGAGGATTGCCCCACTTGTTTCTGTTTTATGAAAGACCTTGAAATGGGTCACAGAAATTATTGGGTACAGAAAGGATAGGAAAACTCCTTTCCCTTCATTCTTCTAAGCTCTGGGCTGGGACCTCTGTTAACACGCTAACAAGGGAGAAATGAATTTTCTTCACACGTCCACGTCCACATTCAGGGAAGAAACTTGGAAAGGCGGCTTCAAATTCAAGATTATCCAGTACTCTCAACAGAGAGCACTTAACCTGGAGAGACTAAAGACAAAGTAAAGTGGTTTCCGGCTTCTGAGTGCAGCAAACTGGGAAGGCTTAGGTAGGGGAGGACGTGTCTAGACCCGGGACTGCACCCACTCTAAGCTGTGGAGTCTGGTCTCCGGGAAAGGAGAATTAGCCTTGCCTTGCTTCTTTCTTTCTTTTTTTTTTTTTTTGCAGTACCAGGGATCAAACTCAGTTGCAAGGCAGGCACAGTGCCACTGAGCTAAATCCCCAGCCCCTGCCTTGCTCCTTAATTACCTTCAGCTCAAAATAATGTTGAAGTTGGCAGCATGTTTTGGGATGATTCCTTCCGGCTTCCTTGAGGTGTCTTCAGGAGCAAGGAGGCCTGGCCTGGCACCCCCTGGGTAGTCTGGCTTCTGCCGTCTTTTCGCCTGTAAGCCACCTGTCATCATAGAGGTTGTGGAGAACTGACAGCAACGCAAATGATTCTTGTCTCCAGACTTTAGCCATACAAATGCCTCCAGCCTGGCAGAAGTTCGGTTGACCCCTCCTCCCCAAGAAAGAGCCAATTTTGCATTTATTAAGCAAATCATCTCAGCGTTCCTGATGGCCTGCATTTACTTCTGACTTTTGGATTCATCTCTGAACCATCTGTGCATCTTATACACACCCTAATTAACAGGTTAAAGTCTACTTTTTTGTTGTTGTTTATTGAGTCAGGGTCTCACTATGTACTTGAGAGTGACCTGAAACTCACTATGTAGCCCAGGCTGGTCTTGAACTCACAGCAATCCTCCTGCCTCAGCCTCCCAAGTGCTGGGATTACAGGTATGCACAACACGGCTTAAAGTTGATCTTTGACATATGTTTATTTTGTATTTGTAGGGAAGACAATAACTTCGCCCTTTTTTGAAAGGCGCTTTTCACAAGGCTCTTTACAGACCTGGGGTCATCCAAAGACAATTGCAGTTTAACATATTCAGAAGGAAGTGACAGTTGACTGGGGTCTATCATGTTCTTCAGGGCCTCCTTATGTAGTTCAGGCTGGCCTCTGACTCACAATCCTACCTCAGCAGAGGACCATAATACTGATTATGCCCAAGGCAGGCTGTGAAGAGTTAACCCCATAACTGGCTTGTTAGTAGGAGTCCAGCTGAAGCCTGTGTGCAGAGGTCAGAGTAACTTGCACCCAGATTCCTTCCCCACAATGAAAGCCTTCAGGCCAGAAAGACAATGTTCTAATTACAACAATACATTTTGTGTATCTTGTTCCTAATTTGAGAATGCGTTGTCCTTTATGAACCTCATTTAATTTCCATAGAAACTGCACACAGCTTGCCATGATCCCAACTGATTGCCAATAGAAGTCAGAGTCTGGAACCGGCCAGTACTTTTGTCAGTTGCACAGGCATTGGTCATCCTGGCACCCCCCTTTATCGTAGTGTATTTCTCAGGCCTGTGTTGTATTCCGGGCAGGGTACTGGAACCTAACTGCAGGAGTCTTTGGTACTATGTAGTTCAGGCTGGCCTCAAACTTGTAATCCTGCCTCAGCCTCTCCAATGCTGGAATAACAGGTGTTGCCACCACACCCACTGAGGCCTATCTTCTTATGGAATTAAAGGTAGCTGGAGATACCAGGCCCAACATGGGATGACTGTTTCTTGTTTTTGTTTTACAGTACTGGAGACTGAACTCAGGACCTTGTGCTTGCCAGGCAAGCTACGTCTCCAGCCCGAGCTGTTAATGGCTTCTGTCTAGAGAAAGCCTCATGCAGCCATAGGTGGGGCTTTTTCAGAAGTGCCCGGATCTAGGTGTGTGACACTGAGATTGATCCATGGTGCAAGGCTAGGCTCAAGGGCACTAGGATTAAGGGCATGAGTGCTGCCTGCCCTAATAGCCTGGATAAGATAGAAGGGATAGAATGTGCTTTTGGTTCCCTTTTGCTTGTTGCTTTTGCTATGTCTGTGTGCCATGAGCAGTCTCCTCTGTGATGCCTGCCTGCCATGCCACTCTACAAATTGTGAGCTAAATAAACCTTTGCCCCTTTAACTTTGGTTGTCGGGTATTTTGTCTCAGCAACAAGAAAAGTAAGATACTGACTGAATGCACAGCACCATTTTGATCATACAGATGTACATGATACAACTACAAAATTTTAAAACTTAGAGCTGCAGTTACGAAAAACTAATGCACCCCAGCCGGGGATTGAACTCAGTGGTGCCGCTGCCTGCCTCACAAGCGCAAGGACCCGAGTTCGATCCTCGGCACCAAAACCAAAATGCAAATAAACAGAAAACTAATGCACCCCTTCTAAAAGTCCAGCTGGAGAAAGAGTTTCTGGGAGCAAGGGCTCCCTCGAGGACGGGTGTGCAGACAGGTCTGCTGCTGTCACTAGTGCCTTCAAGGGCCTCAGCAATTGGGGAGCAGCTACCATTTAACCACACACACTTAAACCAGCGCTACTTCCGGCCCTTAAGAAGCTGTCCCGAGAATGATGGGGAAACCAAATAAACAAAGCGCTCTTTTCTATCTTTAAGAAACACATCAGGAAAGTTTGCTGAGAGCCTTTCACATTCCGATTTCTCAAACGGGACGGAGGAATCCTCCCCTATTCCCGGGCCTGAGCGCTTCCCCTTTTCAAGGCCTTCCATCTCAGTTGTTTCCAGTTCAGCTCCCACTCTCTTCCGTCTGCAGTCCGGACCGACCACACCAGAGGGTGGGTTGTAGGGGCCGCGCTCCTGCTCAATCGTCCCCTGCAGAAGGATTCTCGGACTCGTTTGGGGGCGAACGGTGCGACTTGGACCTTGCGGCAGCCCGTATTCCCTAAGCTTTCTTTCCGGACCTCAGTGTGGGTGGATCTCTTGATTCCAGCCAGAGGTCTTGTAATTAAGAGCTGCCTTTCCTCAAGGGACTGACAGTCCTCAGAGCTCTCCGTCCAGCGGGACCCTGGCCGCCGAAGTCTCTCCAGCCTGCCAGAGCAACTTTTTCCGCGGCTCCTCACGGCGCGGCCGGAAGTACGCAAGCGGCGCGGTGACCTCTCGGTCCACTTCCGGGGTCGCGCCGCCCCGTTCCCCGGCCGGGCTTTC